CGATTAAAACCACACTTGTACCTCTGCCACCAAACAATCCCTGGGTAATTGTGGTCTGTGACCCTGGGTACCGATTATGCCTTTTTCCCCGAGGGAGCTTGAGGAGCTCTGTAGTCCGTGTTGGGCGGGGACGCATGACCCTGCCAGAGCCCCAGTCACATGCAGCCCCGTGGTTTGTGGGGGTGTGAGGAGGCCCCTCCCAGAGCAGGGCCGAAGAGACGAGGCACGCCCATCATGGAGGAGAGGGAGCCTGCCACCCGCTCTCCCATCGGCCTTACACTGCCACTCTGATCTTAGGGTTGGTGGGGGCGAGATTGGGTCTCTGGATCTTTGTCTTAAGCTCTCTGTATCCCGTGACTGCACTGTCTCCTCCTCCAGTGACTCAGCCGGCGGGCCACGACCCCAGGCTGCCCTTGGGACCGTTGGGGGGCGGGGGTGGGGGAAACGCCTCTGCTTTCCTCTGGGAGGACCCTCGCCTCAGAAACCCCATTTGGATCGGGGTGGGGGGGGTGTGGCACTGGGAGCAGGTTGGCCCAGCTCTGCCGGTCTGTTTCTCCTTTCGCTTATCATTAATCTTGGCAACAAACGCGGACAGCGAAGAGTTCCAAATGAGAAACTTTTTGAGAGACCTGGGGTGAAGCCTTTGCACATCATTTGTTTGAGGATTTCTTTTTAGAATCAGCCCCCTGCAAGAGAGGCCTCCTCAGACTCGGCCTTTCTCTTGCAGGACCTGCTAGTCCCAGATCCCAGAGCTGGAATTCTTGAATTTATTGAGCATGCCAACATCTCCTCCTTAAAGGGCTTCTGCCTCCATCCAGCTCTGGCCCCACCCTTTCCACTGACTTCTGAGTAATCCCACTTTTGAGAAGGTGCTAAGAGGAATTTTGTGTGTGTGTGGTAGGGTGGGGGGAGAATTGTAGTTCATGTTTGAAGGCCACCCACCTAACCTCCCTCCCCACACTTTCCGCTTAGTAAATACAGGATATCCTGTCCAGGGCAAGAACCTGATGTAAGAGGCTGGATTCTGTGGGGAGAGCCCTCCTTCCCTCCTGATGTCTGGACTGGGGAGGGGTTCATGGCCCTGCCCTGTGATGGGCTGAGGGGTTGCCTTTAGCCTGGGTAGGTGAGCCTTGTTCTGGGCCAGATTGGTCACAACCCTGGCTGAACACTGCACTTTCCAGCAGTCCTGGGCTATTTCTGAGTCTCCTAGTCCTGAGTCCTAGAGTGGAATGCTTCCATTCCCCAGACCTCATCTCAGACCAGTGCTTGCAAGGAAAGATCCCAGCCTGCCTTCAGTCCTCTTTGTCAGTGGAGTGTGGGGGCTTGAGAACATGAAAAGGGGTGTGTGTGGGAGTCCCATGCCTTCTTTCCATGGATCCCAAGTCTCTATACAGAATTCCCATCATTCCTGGCAGGGACCACAACAGCCCCGGATTGTCCTGGAATAGCACCCACACTTCTCTCTCCATGGCCTTCAGAGAGTGAGGAGAGGCCTTGCTTTCTCCAGAGATTGCCCCCTTTCCTCTGCCCTCCTCTTGACCCCAGATGCTAAGCTGGAGGGAAAGATTCTGTTTTCCTAGCTCCCTTTCCCTCCTGCAATGAGGCTCTTGTGCAGGTGGCTGGGGCGGGTGGGGGGGTGGGGGGTGGGATGGCTCTTCCTGTTGGATTGCGGCTGTGTGGCTGTCCTTGTCCATCACTCCAACCCCCTGGCTCTGGGTGAAGGTGTTTTCTGGGCCCCCGGTGCTGGCTCAGAAGCTTCTGGTGAGGTGATTGCACAAGCCCTAGCGGTTCAGAGATCTTTACGGGCATTTTATCATTGTTATTACCTAATACTACGAACTGTTTATTCTGTGCCAGACGTTGAGCTAAAAATTGCCAAATGATTTTTTTGCCACTTAATCCTCATAATTGCTCTGCTTTACAGACAGGGAAACTGGGGCTCAAAAAAGTTAAATGGTTTTTATTTGCCCAAGGTCACACTGTCAGTGAACGGCAGAGCCCATTTTTTTAACTAAAACAGTTTGATGTCTTTAACAATACTTCATGCTGCCCTAACTATAAGCTTCTTGCATTCAGCGATCTTACACAATAGTGAAGCATGAGATCCGTAAAGTTGAGATAAGGACAATAACTACCTCAAAGAGCCGGGAAGGATTAATCGAGCGTTTATATGTAATAAACTTATTATAGCACTTATAATAGGGCCTGGCCTCTGGTAAGCACTCTGTAAGGGTAAGTTGTTATTGTTTTCCATGGTATTATTATTACGATTAGCATGAGGACTGTGGCCGCTTCTCTTGCTACTTCATTGCTAGGAAGAGGGCCTCGTACATAGTAGAAGGTCATAAATTGCCAGTGGGTGGATGAGCGAGGCGCTGAATGATGCTCTTCTCTCATTCTTCAAGGTAGGGGACCGGGTGATGGTGTTGATCCGGTCAGGCATGTGGCAGGAGGAGGTGACTGTGCCCTCAGCCCAGACCTTCCAGATGCCTGAGGCCATGACCTTTGAGGAAGCCGCTGCCTTGCTGGTCAATTACATCACAGCCTACATGGTCCTCTTCGACTTCGGCAATCTACGGCCCGGCCAGAGCGTCTTGGTACACATGGCCGCAGGTGACAGGCCCCCTCCCTTTATCCCCCCTCCTTACCCCGCCCAGATTTCCTTCGGGCCCCTTCCCTGCAGCCTGTCTGGACGGTCGTCATGACAACACCAGGCTGCCTCGGCCTCTGGCTCCCAGAGGCCTCTGCAGTATTGTTGCCGTGGTAACGTTCAGGCACCAGGTCCAGCCTGGTGTGCTATCCATAGCGACGTCCCCTCACCCGGCACCCCCTCCTTTGCCAGCTGCCCTCCCCCCCAGTTCCCAGGCATGGATATTGGACCTGGTTGTGAGGAGAGAAAGCCTCAGAATGCACCCAGGCCCAATGCAGGTGATGAGCAGAGTCCTTGAGGGGCAAGACTGGAGAGCGGTGGCGGGGTGGCTCCGTGTCCCCGCCTCACGGGAGTGTCTTGCTGCAGGGGGCGTGGGTATGGCCGCCCTGCAGCTGTGCCGCACGGTAGAGAACGTGACGGTGTTCGGGACAGCCTCGGCCAGCAAGCACGAGGTGCTGAAGGAGCACGGGGTCACACACCCCATCGACTATCACACGACTGACTACGTGGAGGAGATCAAGAAGATCTCCCCCAAAGGTGGGGTCGGGGTGTGGGCGGGGGCAGGATGGCCCAGGACAGGGAGGGGCACTCCAGATCTGTGGCTCCTGATGCTGTTCCTGGCTGCCCCCTGCCTTACTCTGTGACAGGAGTGGACATCGTCATGGACCCTCTGGGTGGGTCAGATACGGCCAAGGGCTACAACGTGCTCAAACCCATGGGCAAAGTGGTCACCTATGGTGAGTTCGCGGGCTGGGGGTGGAGAGGGCTGTGGGTCTGAAGGGCAGGATGCAGAGGCCCAGGGACTCCGCTGCCCGAGCGAGCATCAGGGTTATAGGGTTAGGCCGGGCCGGGGAACGCGTTCAGATTGCTGCCTCCGGGGTGTGGCTGATGTCATTCTCATTCCCTGCTTTTCCTGCGAGTCCCACACAGTGAATACTGTGTTCTTTCTGTGCTCCTGTTTGGGGCTTATTCCCGACGCGAAGTCCCATCAGTCTGCCTTCCTTTGTCCTATCCTCCTGGGCTTCTTGGGCAGGCTGCATTTTCATCTGAAAAACTGTTTCACACACACACACAAATGGACAAGTAAATAAAGATGAGGGCAATTCTGAGTCGGCCAGAGTCCACTTGGGCCTGGCAGCCAGCAGCGGGGGGATCATCCTGTCGCTCCCTGCGCCGCTGTGGGTGATTGTGAGAGGCCCACAGGGGGCAGATGAGCGTGGACCGGGACAGGGACGCGCCCGGCACCTGGATTCACAGGCCGCATCTTCTCGTGCCGCAGGAATGGCCAACCTGCTGACGGGCCCCAAGCGGAACCTGGTGGCCCTGGCGCGCACATGGTGGAACCAGTTCAGCGTGAGCGCTCTGCAGCTGCTGCCAGCCAACCGCGCCGTGTGTGGCTTCCACCTGGGCTACCTGGAGGGTGAGGTGGAGCTCATCAGGGGCGTGGTGGCCCGCCTCCTGGCCCTGTACAGCCAGGGCCGCATCAAACCCCACATCGACTCCGTGTGGCCCTTTGAGAAGGTGAGTGGGACGGCTGCGGGGAGGGCTGGGCCGGGACCCCTGCAGGCCGGTGCTCCCAGGGCTGGGGTTCCTGGGAAGAGGAGGGCTGGCTCCTCTCTGCTGGCTCTCTGGAGGGGACCGGACGGCCCTGGGAGCCGAGTCTCATCTTCCTCTCCAGGTGGCGGATGCCATGAGGCAGATGCAGGAGAAGAAGAATGTGGGCAAAGTCCTCCTGGTGCCTGGACCAGAGAAGGAGAACTAGGGCGGGGGCTGGCGGACCCTCAGGGCCCGGGAAGAGAGATGCTGGGGGGCCCCGCATTGTGCTGGTCACCAGACTCTCTCACATTTCACCCTCTATCATCATGCTCTGCCCTCTCTCCCCCGAAGGTCTCCGTCCTGATGACCTCTCCCCTGCCCTGGTCTGTCTCCTTAGGCAGGGCTGCCCCCTCCCCCCCTTCCTGCCCTCGGAAGAGGTTGGGAAGTGACCACTTGGATGTCTGGGCTCTGACAAGGGGACAGGGAGGGCCAGAGGGAGGCCGGCTGCTTCCTGCCCCCACCCTTTCCCTGGGCCTGCTCTGCTGCTTTTGTGCCAAGGTTAGCCGATCCCTTTCCGTCCAGTTCTGTGTGCTTCCCCCTCGGCCTCATCTCCCCCTCCTGCCCCCGCCCCTCCCCACCCCACCCCACCCCCAAAGAATTGAAACGTCAGCTCAGGATATGGGGCCAATCTTTGTGAATCCAGCATGTCCCTGTCTCGCCCTCGTGTCCCTTCAACCCAGGCCGACCAGTGCCCACCTCTGAACTCTGTCGCCTCGTTGCATGGCCTTGTCCTCTTTTCCCCATCTCCTTAAGCACAGTTGGGCTTCTTCCACCTCCAGGTTTTCTGCCCGTCGTAACCAAGGTTGCCTCTTACAACAAGGGTGGGAATCAGACCTGCTCCCCTAGGTCACAACTGTGGGAGGGACACAGAGCACCCCCCCACCGGTGGCTCCCCACCCTTCACTGAGTTCTCTGGAGTTGTTCTCAGTGCCTTAGCAACGGAAAACCTGTGCGTGTGTGCGTGTGGGGGGACGTCCCTGTCTCACACCTCCTTCTCCACCCCTGTACTCCCCAGTGCCTTCCTCGTTCTGCTGGAGCTGGGGTTTTCCTGCCTCCCAGTCCCGCAACACTGCCAAAAATCTGTGTGTGTGCCCGCGGGTGGGAGGGGGGGCAGCCCCGAGCCTCCTGGGGTCTGTGGCACGTCCTCTCTGGGGCTGTCATTTCTCTATGGGAGGTGGAGGAGAAGAAGGCGGGAAGCTTTCTCAGCCTCGCAGATAAGTGTGGTATTTACCAGCCAGGGCTCTCAGAGGCAGTGCCAACTGTTTCTTGTTCTGGGACCAAAGTGAAAATCAAAGCACATTTCCCGCGTCGTCAAGGGAGGCCCACAGCCTTCTCAGAGCAGGGGGGGCAGCTTTTCCAAATTCAGCCACAAACTTTGTTTACACGGGTGGGGAGATGGAACAGGAGAAGGGGGGCGGTGGTTTAGGACCTGGGCCGCTGGAACCAAAGTGGGGACTTCCTGGCATAGGGGTGTAACTCCCCCTGCTCTCCAATGCGGAGTTAGGTAGGGTTATTGCCCAGCCGCTGCCAGTGGGAGGTGGGGGGAGGCGCTCAGCCTCTTCATTGTCTAAACGAGGACGAAACGTGTGAAGTGCGATTTCTGCTTTCGTGTACCCCACCCTGTTTTACCGAAGCTGCCTTTGTGTTTGTGTCAATAAAAAGCCAAACCCTGGGTCTTGGATGTTGCCTCTTGAGAGTTGGAGGGGAAGGTGGGCTCCCGGAAGGCCAGTGCTGAGAGTGGAAGGTTAGGGTTCCTCCTGTCATGCTCAAATCAAGTTTCCTTTTACGAAATGAAATGAGAAGATCACGCCACTTTTATTGTTCTTGGGCAGCATTTCACAACCCATAATCCCTGCCACTGTCGACCCGCACGATCTCTTGCACCCGTGCGCCCCGCTCCAGCCTGGTTCGAGAGGCTTGGCAGATGGGTGCAGGCGCCGAGGAGGGCAGGCTCTTAGCCCGAGGTGGCGGTGAAGACTGCCAGGCCCCGCTGTCCGGGGGGCACGACTCTCAGGGCCTCCACCTCCCCACCTCCACGGGAGGGCTTCTGGAAGTGGATCTCCAGGATGTCCTGCAGCTCCGGGCCATCCAGGACATCAGGAATGTTGAGCACCAGCACTGACTGGGGCACCGGCCGGAACGCGATCTGGAAAAGGAGCCAGGAGATGGGCAAAGGCTCCTGGGAGTCAGGGACTGGGGGCAGGTGGTACCCCTGGGGGTAGGGAAGGGGCGAGGAGGCCAGAGAGGCCGGCAAGGGGGAGGGCAGAGGGGTTTGGGGACTCTGATCCTTGGGCAAGTTTCTGGCAGGCAGGCAGGCGCCTGGCCCAGCCCCCGAGTAACCTTCCCACTTACCTCGGCCTTCTGGATCTCCCCACTGAGGTAGGGGGAGACTCTCACAGGGCACTTACACTTGCCCAGTGGCACTGTGAACTGGCCAACCCGGCACAAGTACTGGGCCACTGGAGGGGGAGAGAGGGATGGACTGCTAGCGTCAAGCGCCCTGCTCTCCCGGGGCCTGAGTCCTCAGTCAGCCCCAGTCTTGTGGGCGGGGCCCTCACCTGCGTCCTTAGTGAAACCCAGCACGACGCCCCCTCGCAGCAGCTCCCGAGACTCCACATCACCACCCCCGTTCCTGGTCTTGCCAAAGAAGATCTCCAGCTTGTCCAGCAGCTCCTCCTCACCCAGCCTGAGCCCGGCAGGAAACCCACTGACCAGCACGCTGTGCCTGCTCACCTGAGTGGACACCTAGGGGCAGACAAGAAGGGGAGGCCCGGCCCCGCTGCCTGGGGCCCAAGCGCACCGCAGCCCCTGCGTGTCCCAGGACCCTGCCGCGCTGTCACCTGTATGGTGGTCACCATGGGCAGCTCCAGAGCCCGCACTTGCACCCGCAGCCGGCATTCCTCTATGTGGATCTCATGCTCCTTTTGTTGCAACACCCTCTGGGCCACTGGAGGGGGGCGCCCCGGGGTGGGGGGAGCATGGTCGGTGCCAGGAAGCCTCCCAGCCTCCCCCCCGGGGCCTCTCTCAGAGGACTCACCCTTGGGGTCATCGAAGGTGACCAGAGCAGAGCCTCCAGACAGAGGGTAGCCGATCCGCACTTTGGAAACCAACCACTTGGGCGCTTCCTGGCCCTGCTGAGTGTGTCCTCGGAACACCAGAGGGACCGCAGGTGCCTGGAATGGGACCTGGAGGTGGGGGAAGGGAGGCTGATGCAGCCTTCAAGGGTGGGAGAGGCCCCACCCCAGCCCCCAGGAGGAAAGTGTTCGATGCCGGGGACAAATACATTTATTGAAAGGAGCGGATGGAGCGCCTGGATGGCTCAGTCGGTTAAGCGACTGCCTTCGGCTCAGGTCATGATCCTGGAGTCCCTGGATCGAGTCCCGCATCGGGCTCCCTGCTCAGCGGG